TTGAATCACAATATTGCATCAATTTCTCACACAATGCTGTGGAGATTATGTTGCGAGCGAGTCGTAATGCCTGCAGTATTTCATCAGTGTGGTTGCCATATTTGTGTTAAAAGGATTTGAATGAGGACAGAATATAAAACTGTCAGTGCATCAAGTTAACCTCAATAAATGGAAAGCTTCAGTGCACATGAGATCTTTTAATATATCATAAAAGGGCTCTACTGCTGCGATAATATTTGTAACTCTGGACAAAACAATATTATCATTCTATGTTGGTTTACACTTGCCTTAAAGCTGACCTATCATGCAAAACTTTTGTACGTCTTTGATACATGAATATGTGTCCCCGGTGTTCCAGGGAACTCACCAAGTGTCAGAAAACACAACCCTCTCTATTTTCCTCCGTACCCAAATCTCTTAAAAAGGGGCTGCAACGGATCTGATACAGACTGATCCAGATTTGAACACTTCTATGACGTCACAGAAGTGGCGCTACGGCTATTGGGCCAACTCCACCAATCAGGAGGAGACAGCCACGGACATTGCCGTTCAAAGCGCTGGAGACGCTGTAGTACATATGCCAGGCCTGTAGATGGTGCTGTTCTCACAGAATCAGCCCATGATGCAAAGACAGTGTTAAATTGAGCGAAATGAGGAATGGCTTAAAATGCATGATCTGTTTGGTATTTTGAGAAATAAAAAGTATAAATATGCCTTATATAGGTATGGTCCTACACTATATTATTCAAATATAGCATGATAGGTCCACTTTAACATGCCATATATTATAGATCCAAACAAACGTATCACCAACTTTTCAATTGACAAAACCCCCTTTGGGAGAAATAATAATCAAGGACAAATTAGCTTTTGCCATTCTTTTTGGGGATTTTGGATAAAAAACGTGATATTATTTGGTTAGAAATCCGTCTGAACATGCTATCTTTTACTGTAGATACAAATACATGTATCATTTGCATTTGACTTAAGGAGAAATGTATGGTTACTGCTTCACACTTCAATTACTTTAGATGCAAAGTGACAAAAGTATTCAAAGTTTATAACGCTGTTGTGTACTTACATCAGCGTCAGACAAAGTTCAGTATCAAAGCTCCAATCAATAACAAACCAGGCCAAAAGCTTTCACCTCTCGTTCTCTTCGACTTGCCCAAAACTGCTAAACTCTCTTTTATTTAAAAATCTATAGAAACTCTTCAAATGCTAAATATCTCCCTCTGTGATCGCAAGATCAAGGTCTGTCAATGTGGGGCAGGAAGTCGCTGACTCTATGCTGAGGAAATGAGCTGTCTGGATGTTTAATTTCAGAAGCTGAAAATCCAAGAGCGGTGATTGAAGATTGCTTTAGAGACTAAGTGAACACAAGATTGTTTTATTTAGCTTTGTGTTGTTGTATTGAGACAACTTTTCTTTGACCTTTTTCTCTTGTGGTTTCTATCATTTAAAAAAAACATTGTGTTGAGTATTGTTATTTTGATCGTTCTGTATTAATGGTGGAACATCGTAGAAGCCGGTTAATCATATGTTTAGTCCTTATTGAATAATTTCCCAAGGTCTCTGCCTCATGGTGACCATATTGAGGGTATTTTCCCTCTAAATGTCCGTGATGAAGGCTCTTTTTCATAAACTGCTCTTCCATGAAATCAGCACATGTTGCTGTTATGCTTTTTTATATTTCCCAAAAGCACTGAGCTACTGTGGCCTTTATCTGAACTCTGACCAGTTTGAGCGAGAAAGAGACTGTGAACACTACTGTCTTGCTGTTATTGATTTCCAGTGAGTCAGTTGTGATTGGTCAACCGGTTAAAGATGTCCCGCCCTTTAGCCTATCATGTACAATGTGTTGGAGTTAGCCAATAGAAGCTGTTTAGTGTCCGGGCTCCTATTTTCTAGTTTTGGATAGCTTATTGGGGTATCCATTTTCAATCAACCAATCAATTCGCATATCTCAATGACGTGTTATTACATTACATTACACTTGTTAGTCGCTTTTATCCAAAGCGACTAACATACATTCAGTACTGTGGGCAATCCCCACAGGAGCAATTTGGGGTGAAGTGTCTCAGGGACACAACGACATGCTGACTGCAGCGGGACTCGAACTTGACTAAAATCAATAGAATTGATTGCGATTAGATTGATGATCTGTTAGACAGAAGCACATGGAGGTTACATGTACAAGAAACTTAAAACTTAAATAGAACACAAATGGAGGGCAACAGTCCCAAACATGTGCATTTGTTTAAATTATGACAACTCAAGCAAGTTCTGAAATAAAACAAGTTCAGCAAGTGTTCAACATAGATTTCAAAAGTGACAAACACTAAGTCAGTAGAAAGATGGAATAAATCGTGTAGCCTTAATCCCTAGAAAGAGCTTTTTTGAATTGTTCATTTAATATAAGGAAAGCCTATCTCTATCTGTCATGGTGGCAGGTTACCTGATATTTTCTGCACTTCACAGCCCACATTTACTCTGCTTTTGGCAGGTGGCAGGTGCTAATTACATTCCCTTTATGCAAGCAACTGTGGATCAGAGCAGCAGTAAAGTGGCCTGAAAGCAGAGCGGAGCGGGGAGTTGAATCTGTTTTTAAAATAAAGCAAACAAACCCAATACAAAAACAGTCTCTGTCACCTGTTCACCTGCACACAACTGATTTACTTTGCACTTAGGAGGTCCCAAACCATTTGGCAAACGCAAGCTCAATTTCCTGTGACTCAGCTCGCAGCTCCATCTAAATGGCTGGTATTCTGGATATTACCATCATTTCAAGACTCATTTACCTGAAAAACATCCTGAAACAGCATCACTCATGTTCTCTGGCTGCTAACTGCTCCCACCTGCCAGCCGTCGTAAAAAAAATAAAAACTGGCACCTCCAGTCGCCAAAAACAAAGTCATGCACGGCGGGGTTTCAGCAGTTCTGGTTATTTGGCAGACCTTTATCCTGCTCTCCCGACAAAACAGGTGATGCACCCTGCAGCGCGGAGCTCAAATGAACAGAACGTCCCTGAAGCAGCCTCCTCATCATTGTACACCAGATGCACTAGAGCCAAAAGATACGCTACGCGAGCGACTTCGCCAAAACCAATTTCAGAAATGTTATTTTCCTGCTGTTGTCATAAAATACAAACTGCTATCTGATCGCAGAACTCAAACTGAACGATGGAGTGTGAGCGTGATGCAAATGTCAGGCTGCAGGATCACTTTCATGTGCACAGGGGAGGGTTACTTTTAAAAAGATGGAATCAGTGTCCTATCAACATATAAAATAAGTTTAACCTGAATTGCCTTGTGTTGAAAGGTGCTGTATGAATAAACTAGCCATGCCTTGATCACCTCCTGTTACTTTTTGATTGTCTTAATATCAAATGCAAATCAAATTAATACATGAGGAAATAAATATCAATTAGTTGTTATACTTAAGTGTATTATGTAAAGCTAGTAATGTAATCAGGATACAAAAAAGGTGACCATATTGTCTTATAGTTACATGAAAAAGCAGTTTAAAAATAAGAATTGGGTTTACAAGCAGGATTACAATGTTACAATTAAGCAATAGCTCACGACAGGCCGTGGTATATGCTCATTATATCACAGCTAAGGGGCGTGGTTCGGCCCGACGCGAACTGCAGGCAGTTTGCTTTTCAGCCCAACGGTATACTGTTTTTCTCAGACGCGGAGGGATACTGACTTGTTGTGAAAAGTAACTTACAATTCTACCCGTGGTATACGCTCAGTATATCACGGCTAAGAACCAATCAGATTGCTTGATTTGACTTGTCCGTTTTATAATACATTTTAACCACAAACATGTTCATCATTAGGACTTCTAGTTTAAACACATGCTATCACTGGGTGGATTATTTACCATCTACTGTATTCATTCAGCTCAGACTTAACTTCTGCTTTTTAAACTTACTGCTGCCAGTAGATCTGTACAGTGATCTGATCTTTTAATAATCTTTACTGCAAGTGAATACCTTATTTTGTATCCTGATTACGTATAATCCTGTTACATATAATCGCTTACTCCCCAAGCCTGTATGTATGTGTTTGCATGTGCTGCCATTAAAATCACATCTGTATGTATAACACTGACTTCTGCGTTCATGCTATTAATTTCAAACGTGGCATTTAGAATGAACTCCCTCCAGCGTTATATTTCCCCTTTTCCAAAACAAAGCAATCTACTCACTGCTACATCTCCTCATTTCCCCGGCTTAATTGAAACGGGTGCGCCCTGTGTGTGTTGCCTATTTCATTTCCAAAATACAACAAACAAATCTTTTACAAAATGCTCATTGTCCTGGAGCTAATTTGAAGGCGCCAGCTTCCCCTTCTGGTCTTTTTATCCCCAGCACATAGAAATACTTTTCCCTGGGAGTCTTGTGATAGTGTTGGAGGAAGTATCTGCAGTATTTATTTGGACCCCCTCACATAGATTAAGCTTCAGAAGCCGCCTCGTAGCAATTAAATCTATCAGAGGGCGGCAGCGAGCGCTCCGTCAGAACTGCTTCAATAATTGCAATTTAAATGAATGTGGATTCAGAGGCGTTGACAACACACGGCTGCTGGGACTGACTTTCTGCCGCTTTACTTCCTGGTTTGTTTTCTGTTAGAAAAATATCACTCGTCACCGGCTTGAGCTTCAATATCAGGATACATGCTCTGGCTGCCAACATTTTCCATGCTGTCTACACTGCTAGACAGACATGACAATTCAGTACCATATCGCACCGAGACATGATAACACCGGTCATTACTACTATGACTAATAGAAACTCTCCCTGCCTGCCAGAAGCTTTGCCAATATCTGTGTTGATAGGTAATCTCAATTGTATGTTTTTAACGGAAACTTGGATTGAACAAAATACCGTACAAGCTACATAGGGCCTTTGTTATCCTGTGTACTCTGATATTGGAAGAGTGCATTTTCCCAACATGTTCCTTCCTCTCATGTGTGCTCCTCTCTGTTTGCAGACACATAGAGAACTGGACGGGCCTGCAGACTCTGAGAGACGTGGACATGGAGCTTTACACCGGACTGCAGAGACTGTGAGTGTGTAGAGACGCTGTGATCTGGGGGGGTTTGGTGGTTGGGGACACCTGTGAAGTGTTTGGGGAGTTGAAGGATTTTTGCATGAAGGCCATCGAAATAGCCTTAATGAAAACCCAAAATGAGGTTCAGTAATTAAACTTCTAATCCCCGTTCATCCTCTGGGCTCCTGCCTGCTCACTGGTTTTACTCCTGGCAGTAATTCAGCGGTTTAATGTCCGATACTTCTCCGAATGCGACACGATCCCCGCTAATTCTCCGATGAGATGACGAGGTGTTAGTCAGGGTGTGTAGCGAGGGGGAAGAAGAAGAAGAAGAAGAAGAAGAAGAAGAAGAAGAAGAAGAAGAAGAAGAAGAAGAAGAAGAAGAAGAAGAAGAAGGTGTGTTCCTGGTTCCAACACAAGCTGATGTTGAAACAGGCTTTTCATTCTCGACACACGGCGGTGGAACATCCCATCCGCTTTGCCTAGCCACTGATCAATGCTAAAAAGCAGAAGTGAAAATTGAATTAGCGATCCCTCGGTGCCGTGACTTTTCTTTTATTCTCATCTTTTTTCTCCTTCCCTGCTTTTCTACCCTCCTTGACATTCCTCTCACTCCTCCCTCAGTCGCCGCCTCCCGACCTCTTTCTCCTTCCCTTTTCCTCCTAATTTCTCCTTCTCTTTGCAGAGAACCGTATTCTCCTTCGCCCTCTCCCCTGATCCCCTTGATCCCTCATCAGGGAGGCCAAGTGCAATATCTCCAACCACCGAATTAGCATTTTTCTCATTACCACCTCCTCTCTCCTGCTGCCTCGTCTGGGGATGAAGGCTCCCTCCCTGGAGACCTTTACCTTTTGGGACGAGTGAGAACAAGTCACTCATCATCACCTCATTTTACACCTCAGTCATTTGTATTTAAATAATAATAAAGCTTTATTTTTATAACACACATGCAGCTCAAAGTGCTTTACAAAATGACACAACACAAGTTAAAAATAAACAACAAGAAATTCCCCTCAGATATTTGTTAAGAACTTTAAAAAGGTACATGCAGCAAAATATAACATTTGATCAGGTTAACAGACACAAGGAGGTCAAAGGTATGATAATACAAATAAAGTAAATAATGGTTTCTCTCTGACAGATAAGACACAAGACAACTGAGTCGATGCAACAATATAACATATGAAACCCCATAAAACTAAGTGATCACATCAAAAGGGACGCCATTAAAATAAACATTGAATTATTAAAACGTTTTTTTAACTATACAATACATCCAGGGTATGAAGCAGGACTCCATTGTTATATTAAAAACTTTAAAAAATGTAAGGCTGAGTTTTAATTATTAGTGGCTCCTTCATAAAGAAATCACAAATACTTTAATAGAGACGGAAAGTCTTACTATTGTCTGACTTCTCCGGTGTTTAGTGTCAGATGTAGACCAACTAGTGTACCTTATGTGTTGCTGTAATGGCTATATTTAGCACTCAACCCCAAAACTGATGTTATTTCTGGCGACATGTATGTTTAAAAACAGCTCACGAAAGTATATTTTAACTTGAACATTCTGAAGACGGCTGGTCAACGTATTTTGTGCATGGTTAACATTTATCCAAACAGGAAATTACACGTTTATTTTGGGACTGCGTTCAGCTAGAAATAAATACAAATGTGGTGCACTAACAGCAGTAGGACAATATTAATGGGATTGAGTCATAATAAAGTAAAGAGTGTCCACATTAATGGTAATAAAAGTCACCCAGTGCAACAGTGTGTCTCATTAATGTGTTCTTAATAGCTGTAGAAAAAGCACTGACAGAGAATAAAGAAACAGAGGCATCGTGTCCGATATAAATACATTTTTGATATACTGTATGGATTTCGATTTTTTTAAATTTGAAAATCACATTTGATGTTTGATGCAATAACTACATTTTTTTTAAATACATGTAGTTGTGGTTATTTTTATGTCAACAGTCAAATGTATTCTTTCAATTGGACCATAGACCATACCTTAAAAAATAAGCATTGTTTGTTTTGCAGGATAATAGAAGGGTTTGAACCGAAATGCAGCGCACAGGAAATGCACAATTTAAAAAACTCAGCTGGCACAGAGCAAGGCTGGTAGTGTGCACAGATGCATAAAAAGTCCAAGCAGTCATACTAATAAGGAACAGGCAGAGGGTCAGGAAACCAGCTGATAATTCCTCAACACCAAACAGCCACAGATAGAAAGATTGAGATATATATATGTTTTATTGATCCCAATTTGGGAAATGATTTTGTTACAGAAAGAGTGTGTTCAACATTAAAATACAAATACTTAAAAAGTGGTAAAGAGAATGAACAATTACAAATAAAATTAAAATGAGGAATATTATATCAAATATAAACATTATAACATATTCTGGATAATTAAAACGTCTTTACAAAGTCCGACATACTACAGAATAAGGTAGACAGAAACCAGGGAATCAGAGGTAGGTAACAAAGTCAGAGACAAAAGGATTGGTGGGTTTACATTGAAGAAAGGAAGGGTCGGCGACAGGAAGTCAATCCTGATCAAAATGCTGGAGAGTCTTGTTTTGAAGGGGATTAATGTGGAGTGAGAAAGCATGAGAGTGACAGGTCAGCTGATGCGGTGGGCGGGGCTTATCAGTGGAGGCAGGGCTTGTGGAAAAGCGGTGCTGCAGGTGAGGAGAGGAAGCAGAATGTGAAATGTTTTAGCTGCCCAAGGCAAAGACTCAGGTTGGATTCGGATAGTTTAAAAATCAGCTCCTAAGTTCTAACCCTATCTCCTATTCCTTGACCTCTGAGTGAAACGTCATGGGGTTAAGGGATAGTGGATAGGAGAATTCTAAAGGACTTAGGAGAAGAGACTGCCGTACTTTAGAGAATCCGACTGCACTTTCACTATCCAACGTGTTTATGATGATGCGCCAGCGGACGTCATTGTGTGCGTCTGATGCTGTGGAGAAACTATGGAAACTACAGTTCTCTTCGGACTACAACATGGATGTTTAATAAGAACGACGGACTCATCTAGAGACTGCACCGTGCTCTGATGCTGTTGCTTTATGCTTTATGAACAACAGAGAAACATATTCTTCATGACCAAAGTTGGAATTGAAATAAAAAGTGAAAGTGAAACTTATGCTCGTCACCCTCTCCCTCCGGTCCACATTAATACAAATGATCCCAATACTTATGATTGTATGAAAAGATCTTAAAAATCAATACAAACGTATTTATTATAAACGTTAGTCTTTAACATCTATCACTGTGTATATCACCATTCAAACATCTTTTAAAAGTTGAACAAACCCCACACAGCTCAGTGAAATGTTG